CTCTCTGATAAGGAATTCAAAAGAATTGTCTTTAGGTATCTTCAAAGGATTGAGAGACAGACCAAAGAAAACACAGAAAAAACCTTAGAGGAATTTAGCTCATCATCAGCTAAATCTATCTCTGGTCATGGGTATATTCCCGTTCGCCTACCCGCACTTGATAGTCTGTGTATCCACCCATAGACTAATGTTTGTTGTTATTGATAATGCAGTATTGTCTATGTAATAGTATTTGCTTCTGTTATCTATACCTTTTGTACACCTCTCTGTGTTAATCCTTTTTCTTATTACTGTGCTGGTCACACCCTTTTGTTATATTACCTTTCCCTTCACCCAAATCAACACATGACTCTTAACTAGTCAGGAATTTTCCCTACTTTCCCTTGTAACCAGCAAAGTGAATTTCCTTCCCTGTATAAACCTTTCCTTGACTTTTTATAATAATGGACTCAGACAATATTTGTTCTTCTATGATGGACTTTTTTCACTCAGTATAGTGTCTTCCAGGTTTATCCACGTTACGAGGTGATTTGCAGATTTCTTCATTATTCTTTAATATTGCAGAGTATTCCATTGTGTGCATATACCATAGTTTTGTTATCCACTCATCTGTTGATAGGCACTTAGGTTGTTTCCTTCTCTTTGCTATAGTGAATAGTGCTGCAATGATCATGGGTGTGGGAAGTTATTTTCTTAATTGCCTTTTCTGATTATGCATTACAATTGAATGTATAGAAACAAAATTGATTTTTGTATATTGATCTTGTATCTTATAGCTTTGCTGAAATTTTTGTTTTAAATTTAAATTAAATTAATCAGCTTTTTTAGTGGATTCTATAGGATTTTCTATATACAGGATGATATCATCTCCAAATAGAGATTGTTATACTTCTTTGATTCCAATCTGGATGACTTTTATTTTCTTGTCTAATTGCCTTACCTAGAATTTCTAGTACAATATTGACTAAAGACATGGGATGGAACATCTTCCTTGTTTTGTTGTTGATATTGGGTCCTGTTGAGTTGATTTTACTCATAGAGACCCCATGTGACAAAGTAGACCTATCCTGTCAGGAATTCTTGGATATACAAAACAGATTGGAGAGACTCAGATTTGATGCATGGAGTCTGGTTAAATAAGCTTTTGTCATAGTCTAGGGAAAAGATAATGATTACATGAACCAGGATTGTGACAGTAGCTTTGGAGGAACTGGATAGATTTGGAAGATGGAGGTAAGCTTCTAAAAATATATTAAATAACTGAAATTTCTCGGCTATTTTGAATATGTTTAAATTATATGTAACAACTTAAAAAAAATAATAGCTCCTGCTAAGCAATATTAGTTTATTGCATAATAGTTGTGTTTTCTCATATTTTTGCTGCCCTCTTCCATTTCTGTATATTATTCTAGGTAGAATGACATACATATAATTAAAACTTTTGGATAAGTGAACAACTAGGGGAATACTTGAATTCTTGAAAAATCTGAAATTGTAAGAAAGCATTCAATATTGAACACATTTTTATTTGTATGTTCTAAGATATTATCTCTTCCGTATATCAAGTTGCTGAGTTAATTGCAATATGGAGAGTAACACCAGAGAATGCTGTACAATTAAATAAAACCAACTGTCAGTTTGTCATGCTGTGGTGGCTTGTGTGTTGTTGTGAGGCTACAGGCTATGTCACCAGTGTTTCAAATACCAGCAGGGTCACCCATGGTGGACAGGTTTCAGTGAGGCTTCCAGACTCAGACAGACTTGGAATAAGGAAGGGGCCATCTACTTCTCAAAGAATTGGCCAGTGAAAACCTTATGAATAGCAATAAAACCCTGGCTGATATTTTATTGGGAAACTTTATGAATAGCCCTGAAACATTGTCCACTATAGTGCTGGAAGATGAACCCTCAGGTCAGAAGGCACTCAAAATGACTGGAGAAGAGCTGCCTCTTCAGAATATAGATGACCTTAATGTTGTGGATGGAGTAAAGCTTTTGGGACCTTCATTTGCTGATGTTGCGTGATTCAAAATTGGAAGAAACAGATGCAAACATCCATTTATAATTGGAGCATGGAATATACAGAGTATGAATCTGGGAAAATTGGAAGTTGTCAGAAATGAAATGGAATGTGTAAAGATCGATATCCTAAGGGATTAGTGAGCTGAAATGGACTGGTTTTGGCCATTTTGAATTGGATAACCATATGATCTGCTATGTCAGGAATGACAGATTGACGAGGAATGGCGTGATGTTCATTGTCACAAAGAATGTTTCAGGATCTATCCTGAAGTACAGTGCTGTCAGTGATAGCATCATATTCATACACCTACAAGGAAGACCAGTTAATACTGTTATTCAAATTTACGCACCAGCCACCCAAGGCAAAGATAAGAAAATTGAAGATTTTTACCAACTTCTGCAGTCTGAAATTGACTAAACATGTAATCAGGATGTGTTGATTTCACTGGTGATTGGAATGCAAAAATTGGAAACAAAGAAGAATCACCAGTAGTTGGAAAATATGGCCTTGGTGATAGAAATGATGTTGGAGATCGCATGATAGATTTTTGCAAGACCAATGACTTGTTCATTGCATAGACTTTTTTTTTTCAACAACAGAAGTGACAGCTATACACGTGGATTTCACCACATGGAGTACACAGGAATAAGATCAACTACATTTGTGGAAAGAAGCGACAGAGAAGCTCAATATCTTCAGCCAAAACAAGGCCAGGAGCTGACTGTGGAACAGACCAACTGCTCATATGCAAGTTCAAGTTGAAGCTGAAGATAGTTAAAAGAAGTCCATGAGAGCCAAAATATGACCTTGAAGATATCCCTCCAGAATTTAGAAACCCTCTAAAGAATACATTTGATGCATTGAACACCAGTGACCAAAAACAGAGGAATTGTGGGATGACATCAAGAACATATCCATAAAGAAAGCAAAGTGTCATTAAAAAGACAGGAAAGGAAGAAAAGACCAAAATGGATGTCAGAAGAGACTCTGAAACTTGCGCTTAAACAGAAAGTAGCTAAAGCAAATGGAAGATACGACAAGATAAGAGAGTTGAACTGAAGATTTCAAAGGGCACCTCGAGAAGACAAAGTCAGTTATTATAATGAAATATGCAAAGACCTGGAGTTAGAAAACCAAAAGAGAAGAACATGTTTGGCATTTTCAAGCTAAAAGAACTGATATTCAAGTCTTGAGTTGCAATATTGAAAGATTTTATGGACAAAATATTGAATGATGCAGGAAACATCAAAAGAAGATGGAAGGAATACACAGTCACTGTACTAAAAAGAATTGGTTGATGTTCATCCATTTCAGGAGGTGGCATATGATCAAGGAAGAAGGAAGAAGTAGAGGCTGCACTGAAGCATTTGGGAAAAACAAGACCCCAGGAATTGATGGAATGCCCATTGAGATGCTTCAGCAAACGGATTTCAGTGCCCTGCTGGAGGCACTCACTTTTCTTTGTCAAGAAATTTGTAAGACAGCTACCTGGCCGACTGGAAAAGATCCATATTTGTATCCATTCCAAAGAAATGTGATCCCGCAGAATGTGGAAATTATTGAACAATCTCATTAATCACACACAAGTAAAATTTTTCTGAAGAGAATTAAAAAACAGTTGCAGCAGTATATTGACAGAACTTCCAGAAATGCAGCTAGATTCAGAAGAGGATGTGGAACGAGGGATATCATTGCTGATGTCAGATAGATCTTGGCTGAAAGCAAAGAATACCAGAAAGATGTTTACTTGTGTTTTATTGACTGTGCAAAAGCATGTGATTATGTGGATCATAACAAATTATGGATAACACTGAAAAGAATGGGAATTCCAGAAAACTTAATTGTACTCATGAGGAAACTGTACATAAACCAGGAGGCTGTTGTTTGAACAGAACAAGGGGATACTGCATGGTTTACAATCAAGAAGCGAGTGAGCCAGGGTTGTATCCTTTCACCATACTTATTCAACTTGTATGCTGAGCAAATAATCTGAGAAGCTGGATTATATGAAGAAGAACATGGCATTAGGATTTGAGGGAAACGCTTAAGAACCTGCAATATGCAGGTGATACAACTTTGCTTGCTGAAAGTTAGAATGACTTGAAGCTCTTACTGATGAAGATTAAAGACTTCAGTCTGCAGTATGGATTACACCTCAGTATAAAGAAAACAAAAATCCTCACAACTGGTCCAATAAGCAGCATTATTATAAATGGAGAAAAGATTGAGCTGTTAAGGATTTCATATGAGTTGGTTCTACAGTCAGCAGCAATGGAAGCAGCAGTCAAGACATCAGATGACGTATTGCATTGGGCAAATTTGCTTGCAAAAGACCTCTTTCAAGTGATAAAGAACAAAGATGTCTCCTTGAAGACTAAGGTGTGCCTTGGGTTAGCCAAGCCGTGGTATTTTCAGTCACCTTGGATGCATGTGAGGGTTGGACAGTAAGCAAGGAAGACTGAAGAAGAATTGATGCTTTTGAGTTGAAGTGTTGGTGAAGAATACAGAATGAACCATGGACTACCAAAAGAACAAAACAATCTGCCCTTGAAGAACTGCAGCCAGAATGCTCCTTGGAGGCAAGAATGGCCTGACTTTGCCCCACCTCCTTTGGTCATGTTGTCAGAAGGGACCATTCCCTGAAAAGGATATCATGCTTGTTAAAGTGGAGGGTCAGCGAAAATGGTAAGACCCTTGACAAGATGGATTGACACAGTGGCTGCAGTGATGGGGTCAGGATAGCAAGGATTGTGAGGCTGGTACAGGACCGGGTAATGTTTCATTCTGTTGTAGATAGGGTCGCTATGAGTTGGAGCCAACTCAGTGGTTGTAGGTGAAAATCTGTCCAAAGAATTTGGAAATGTTTAATGAAGAAGAATTTATTATTTGAAAATCTATGACCTCATATACATATTCTATACATTTTAAGTAGTATTATATAATGGTTCTTTTTGTCTCTTTTAATTTTAGGAAACGAAATATCTTTTGCCTTCTTTGGAAAAAGAACTGCTTTTGGCAGAACACAGTGACCTTGAAGAAGGTGGACTAGACCTAACTGTGTCATTAAAACCAGTTAGTTTCTATATATCAGACAAAAAAGAAATGCTTCAGCAGTGCTTCTGTATCATAGGGGAGAAGAAGTTACAGAAGATGCTTCCTGATGTGTTAAAGGTACTTCATTATATACATTATCAGTCTCTATGCATATGTAGAGCTACAACCTTTTCTGTAGCAGTCATGTTATATGTACAATTTATAATTAAATGTTGTCAACTGGAACAAGCTAATTGAAAAGATATAAAAAGATTTTCAGAACAATAAATGGCCTTGTATATTTAAAAATTTGGCAAGAAAAAATGGGGCATTTTACTATGTAGGCACACATTTTATTAACCCTAATCTATTGAAATGGTTCTGTTAAATGCAGGCAATAGTACTAACTAAATTGGAGGAATAGTGAATCTTTCTAGTGCTTTAAACAATAATGTAATAATATACTACAATGTGACAATACATGATGATTTGTAGATAATAGCTATATTTCATTGAATTCCATTAAATTCACAAGTGTTTTCATATGCTTACTTCTGATTGTTATCCAGGGGAAAACATGTCATTATTCTAATTTTATAGTTGTGGGAAAAGAGCTTGGTACGTTAAGCCCAAGATCATGTATCTAGAAGTATAGAGCCAACACTTGAATATTTAGAAGAATTGCCTGACATAAGTAGGCTTCAATTAAGAATACATAGGCACTTGGCTTACTTTTAGTTTATTCTTTCATAATAAATACGATTTTAGATATTCCTACTGAATTTCTACAAAATGTTCAAATGTTAACTGACTATTTCATATTTCATCCCATGAAAAGATTAATGTGAATCTGTGTGAGACTTGTAATTTGTTTTCTTGTAAGATTTTGCTCATCAGAATTTTTTTGTGTGCGATTGCAGTTTTCCAGTTTACATTGGAGCTGTATTATATAAATGTGCCTTTTTTTTTTTTTTTTTTAAATGTCATTTCCCTTAGAACTGTTCAATAGAAGAAATTAAAAAACTATGCCAGGAACAGTTAGAACTCCTATCTGAAAAAAAAATCTTGAAGATTCTTGAGGGTAAGAGCACATATTTACATATTCTGGTAACTTACATGTTCAATATAAATCCTGAGGTATTCTTTTTCTTATTTTGCATATTGAATTTTGTTAATAGGTAATCATTGAAGATTATTTTTATTTCTATTTGTATTGAGAAATAGAATTTACATATCAGAAGAAGATTTCAAGAATATGTTTGGTGATGTATAGTTTTTCTAAATCAAGGGTATGTTTCCGCAGTAGTGAAATGAAATAAAAATGTTTACTTATAACACCATAAAAATTAATTATTAAACTGCCAAAGATTTCGCTTAAAATAATTTTTTCTTGCTGCTTTATTTTCTTTATACTGTTTAATTGCCTTTAGCTTATTGTTTCTGTTCCACTCAGACCTAGATTCAGAATTAGAAGTCCTTGCAGTTTGACTACATTCATATCTGCCTGATATATGATGACTGTGAGGCTATTTATTATTTCTAGAATTTTTTGGTTTAAATTTTCAAACATTTTTTTGAACATTGCTAGGATATTTTCATTAGAGTAGGAACAAAAATAAGAGGCTTTCAGTTTGTAGAAATAACTTGTGTTTCAGATGAAAAATAATTTAATGGAAATTTCTAATTCTGGTAATAGATGTACAAATGTATATATAGTCTGTTAATATATATATGTACATTGTGTATATCTCTTACATGTATATGTATATATATAATGCATTAAAGGAACACAAAGAAAAATGTCTAATAAGGCATTAAAAATACAAGCAATTAAAATACAAGCATTTGAAAAATGTAATCTTTTAAGAACAGAATTCTTTAATCTGCATCACTTTTAAAGTTGACACTTTTTGTCTGATTGAATCATCTTGACATTATTATAAGCATGCTTTTTTATATAGTTTATTTCATTTATAAGGTGACAATGGTATGGACTCTGATATGGAAGAAGAGGCAGATGATGGCTCTAAGATGGGATCTGATTTAGTCAGTCAGTAAGTTATAAAATTTAATTTTAATTTTTAAATTTTTTCATTTTTCCTTTATTGATTTCTTACCTTAAGGGTGTGAATGTTTTATTTACATAAAATATTTCTGCAGTATAGAAGGATTGATTTGTTGTTGTGATCTCACTGTCGAGTTGGTCCTGACTCATAGCAACTCCTCCTTGGGTTTCCTAGGTGGTATCTTTACATAACAACAACAATCTTTACAGAAGTGGATTGCCTAGTCTTCCTTCTGAGGAGTGGCTGGTGGGTTTGAATTGCCAGCCTTCTGGTTAGCAGTCAAATGCCTTAGGTACTGTGCCACCAGAACTCCCTAAAATGATTCATCCTTCTGATATATGTGAAGTTGGAGTTAATTCCTTTTAGGACTAATGTGGTTTTCTTAAACCAGATAGATACAGGACATTAGGAATGTCGACCTAAAGTGGATTCGTGTTTCTCCTTGGAATTTGAATATATTGCTTGTTGGTTTACCCACTGTTATTAAGTACATACTGTGTATCAGATAAGGAGCTTTGGTGGTGTAGTGGATAAGCCATTTGGCTGCTAACCAAAAGGTTAATGGTTCAAACCTACCAGTTGCTCCATGGAAGGAAGATGGGGCAGTTTACTTCTGTAAAGATTTACAGACTGAGAAATCCAGTGGAGGTCATTATGAGTTGAAACTGACTCGATGGCAGTGAGTTTGGAGTTTTGGTATGTATCAGACTCTATGTTAATAGCTTTGATCACGTTTATTTTATTGAATTCTACATATCTATTTTTAGGTTATAATATGGATTCATTTCACAGATGAGTAAGGTGATTTATTTTGCATAGAAACTCACTGCCTTTGAGTCGATTCTGACTCATAGCAACCCATTCTTGGGTTTCCAAGGTGGTATCTCTATGGAAGTAGATTGCCCAGTCTTTTTTCCGAGGAGTGGCTGGTGGGTTTGAACCACCAGCCTTCTGATTAGCAGTCAGATGCTTTAGGCACTACGTCACCAGAGCTCCCCGCTTTATATATATATATATATATTAATTTGATTACTGGGAAGATAAAAAAATGCCTCGAGGTTTGAGATGCTGACTAATTAAGGAGAAACATGTTAACTGTTTTTTTTTAAATTCTGCTCTACCATTGCCCATCACATTTTTACCCACTGATTTCAGCGTCTAGTTATGACTTTTGCCTGGAAAACTTACTTCTTTGGTAAGTTTTGCTTGATTACATTTGTTTTCCCTGTTTTTGGGGTCAAAGACTGGTTTTTATCTTTCTTTGCAAAGCCTGCCATTTTTCTTAATAAAAGATTTATGCTACAGATACTGGTAGTAGCACAAATAAGAGATTATTGGAGGCAGTAGAATAAATGAATAGTACATATATAACTTGAAATCTTGAGTACTTTTCTTTAAAAATACTTAGCTTTAAAGGAAGGAACCTGGTAATGCAGTTGTTAAGTGCTCAGCTGCTAGCAGTAAGGTTGGTGGCTTGAACTCACCAGTTGCTCTTGAGGAGGATGATGTGACAGTTTGCTTCTGTCCATGGGTCACTGTGAATCAGAATCAACTCCATATTAACAGGTTTTAGATTTAAATGGCTTATATAGTATATTTATATTAATTTAAGCATTTATAAAATATGTCAGTTTTTGGTACTTTTTAAGTTTTTTAAATACTAAAGTGATCATTCTGCTCATTGATATTACTTATACAGAATTCTGGATCAAAGTTTTGCTTGATTACATTTGTTTTCCCTGTTTTTGGGGTATTGTCAAGGTTAAGTGCTTAATTTACATCTAAACACTAGTGCTGCCTTTTTTACTGTTAGAAGCCATTAAATTATAGATAGCCAAACAGTGTTTGATTTCTGAAATATCCTAATGAAAAATAAAAAAAAAAAGGTTAGCTTGAAAGTGATTGTTATGGAGAACCCATTTTTACAGTGTGATTACAAGATAGGTCACATTAGCTTTTTAATGTAACAGGTGTCTAGGTTGGACAATCAAAATACTACCAAGAAGTATCATAACATTTACTTATGGAGCTGATAAGTACCAAATCATTGAGACTCTTTTGAATCACTTTTGAATATAGGCTTAATTTTAAAATCAAATTTCTAAACTCTAAGATGCCAGATAAATAATGTTATTAATAACTAATACTCTCTGAGCATTGCATTACAGATGATATTCTAAGCCATTTGCATTCATTAATTCATTGCATTTAGCAACTTTGTGAGGTAAGTGGTATTATCACAACTATTTTATACGTACCAGTGATGTAAAGTTTAAACTTGAGATAAAAAAATTTCGTAACTGTAACTCCCAAAAAACTAATAATTCTTTGCACACACACAAAATATTTGCTAGAAACTGTAAAATGCTGATGAAGATGACCTAAATAAATGGAGAAATATACTGTGTTCGTGGATTGGAAGACCTAAGATAGTAAAGATTTCATTTATTTTCAAATCAGTCTACATAAATACAATTCCAGTGAAAATCTAAGCTGGATTATACATATAAATGTGCTAATCAAAAAATTTATGAGAAAAGGCAAATCAGTCAGAATAGCTAAAATGATTTTAAGAAAGGATTATACTACCTAGTATTGAGGCTATTACAAGGAAAGGTGATCCAACGAAATGCAGACATTATCGAACAATATCATTATTATCACACAGAAGTACAGTTTGGTGAAGAGAATTTAGAAATGGTGGCAATAGTACATTGGCAGGGAACTGCCAAAAATTCAGGCTAAATTCAGAAGAGGAGGTGGGTTGAGGTATGTTGTTGTTGTTAAGTGCCGTCAAGTCGTTTCTGACTCATAGCGACCC